GGGCACGGGAGGCGCGCCCGAGCGCTTTTTGTTTTTTTTTTTTAAAAAAAGCAGCTTTTTAAAGACTTCTTGCACAAGAAGGGCAGAGAAAGCAAGAGCAGTATCTGTAATTCTTGGCACATAAAGTGAAGAGCCAGGGGCTGACGGCTCCGTGGCGGCTCCGCTGCTCGGTGCCACTTTTGGGGAACGCACGCTGCTGTTTGAAGGCTGTGCAGCGTCCCGGCGGTCGCGTCTCGCGCCGGGAGCCCCGAACCAGCCCAGAACACGACGGCCAGACGAGACGGTGACCGGCAGCCCCCAAAATCTCGATGGCATCTGACGTTCACGCCTGTCTCAGCTGCTGAGCCAGTCGTCTCTCTGGAAAACGGGGGCGAGCTTCCAGGAAGACGACGCGTAAAGAAAAGATTCCCCGTGTCCAACAACGGGTTAGCAGCTCCTAACGAGAGACGCCAACCGTGGCGGGCATTAGGTCCATTTACAAATTCCCCTGAAGCTCCTAATTTCGACAAGCTCAGAAAGGGCAGAAAACCCAAGCTACTACTTATTTTCTCTCCGTCGAAAGCCGGGACAGCTACACGAGGCCACGCTGCCCGTGACACCAGGGCCGACGCCAGGAAGAGCTGCTTCCCTGCCCGCACTCCCCTTAAAAGCTCGAGAGGCCACCAACTGTAATTTAGGAAAAATGCTGAAAGTTATGTGCCTGAAAACTTAAAGATGTGAAAAACCCACAGGCTGCGCGGATAAGGACGCCTACCCGGACGCCCCCGTCGGCTCTGGGAGCGCTGGCTTCCCCCAGACCCCGACGCCAAAAGAAAAACAAGGGATGCCACCGACGTGCTGGTCAAAGCCGCTTGCCGTGGTCGTCTTCGCTTTGCCAGCAGCATTTCGCGATGGATTCCGGTGCTCGGGAAGCCACCGCAGCCCTCCTCCCGTCTTTCTAACGGGGTTCACCTCAGCCCGGCTCCTTTCGTTTGCTTTCTGGCGGCGCTGGTCGAAGCCATCCGCTCCCAAAGGCCAGCGTCCCGCTTGCACAGAGTCCAAAAATGTTCGATTCCAGTTGAGACGCTTCTCACTTAAACGGACGGGTGTCATCCTGACACTGAAGGGAACAGCGAGTTCTCCCAAGCGGAGCATCTGCACGCAGCCAGGAAGGACGGGGGTCTTCGGCTCCCATGGGATCTCTCCATTAAGCTTTTCTCTGGATCAAAGTCCCGTGTTTTACACCGAGCTCTTCGCCACGGTGCTTGCAAAGCGATGAACTGTGGCAAGCCTGAACTCCACCCTTGGTGGCAAATAAGCCAAATGCTTTTTGAGCATCGGTACTGACGGAGAGGAAGGCTCCCAGCACCACTGCGCTTGTATTAATCACAAATTCATTCCCTCTCCCGTGGCTTTGTTTCAGAATCCTTCTTAGCGTGGGTTTTTTTTTTTCGCTTTGCATCCACAATCGCCAATATTTAGAAAAAGGTTCCTTAGTTGATGGATTTTATTTTTGGATAAAATAAAAGGGGCCAGGGGATCAGAGGGGACCGTGGCTCCACCCCGGGGCTGGCAGACGGCTTCGCCGTGTGCCCCCGGGCCCCTTTCCGAGCGCCTTCGTGCCCACGGAGTCACTGATTGCGCCTCCTGCTAACTGAAACCTCGCCTGTCAGTCCCAAAATTTCGCTGATCGCCAGCGTTGCCTTCGAACCGCGGTTCTTTCTCCTGCACACCACAACAAAAGAAGGTGGTAATGCCACGCGCTGCAGCTACCCGTTCTCTTTTTAATACAACGCACACCTTTGCTCTGCTGTTGCGATTCGCCCTGAGTGAAGAACAAGCTCCAAACCTTCCAAAAAGGAAATTCGGAGCGTGCGCAGGCGCGACAAACACCCACGAATTCACTCGGAGCCTGCTCGAGACGAGACCGAGAGACCTCACCTGCCTTCTGCTCCTGCAATGGGAGCCTGACAGCCCCGAAATCCCCGTGCGGGAGGGAGACGGAAACGCCCCGGCTCGGGGAGACACCAGGGTTCAGGGTACAAACCAAACTCACGGGGCGTTCCGGGCGGTACGTGTTGTTACAGCAGCTATCAAAGGTCAGCTGTCACCGCGTCACGCAGGCGAGTTTGCTCCCAACCAGGAAAATGTGACATATCTGGTGACATCGCCGCGTTGCTCCTCCCTGGGCAAACAGCCTAAAATAGGCCAGCGAGAAAGGAAGTGATCGGCCACCGGTGACGTGTCGGGATGAACCTGCTCAGGCTTCGCTCTGCCCAACAAAGTTTCCCTCGTAGCTGTTTCGAGGGGCTGGACGTGCGTGTCCTGGCACAGAGGCGGCATTCCGGAGCCAGCCTTCCCAAAACTCAGCCGATAATGTCACCTCGACGATGCCCCAAGTGATTCTAACGTTATTAAAGCGACCGAATAAACCGTGACAGGTGCCGGAAAGAAAGAAGTCCGCACGGTGACTGGTTTGCACCGTGACATGAGCGCCGGCTACGAGGTGGCAGTGTCTGTTGTACGAAACAGGAAAACGAGCAAATAAAGCAAGACACGGGAGCGTTAAGCGATTAATCCATGGGGCTGGGAGGCATAATTAAATACTCCCTGAAAAACAAAAAGCCCAGGCCGGCAGGACTTGGTCCTGCAAAACAACGCAGCTGCCTGCATCCGACTTTAACGCGGACAAAAGGCGTTTTCGTGTTCCCGAGAACGGGCTGCGTATTTAACATCAGCGAGGAGTAACCTGCATCAAGGCTCTGGATGGATTTTGGGGAGGATAATTAAGGAATTTCTTTTTTTTTCAAAGGAAGGCAGCACTGGGTGATTTAATTTAAGCATCAAACAAGACCCTGCGCTTGGCCAAAAGCGTATTAGAAAAATGTCGCTTTCTTTACGGAGAATCCTCACGGACTGAGAGCGGTTTCCCCTTCCCGAGCTTCAGCGCAAGCAAGCCTGAAACCAAAAGCCCAACTTCCACATTCCCTTCAGCAAACCCATCCACCACGTCAGACGATTGCGCGTTTCATACCCGAGTTTGCCCAAGAGGGGAAGGTTTTTCCCTCACGTCTCGCCGGGATGCTCCGGACAGACACCGGCCCGGCACGGTGGGTGCCCATCGATCCCAATTTGGGTGCCGACAGGAAT